GAGCGAATAAAAAATTGATTTATTGAGCGGATTCATGAGCGATTCCAGGTGATTACCTAACTAATCCGCCAGCAATCGCTCGGATTCGAAAAGCTGAGAGCGAATTTCCAGCAAAAGTATTTCTCTTGTCGAGTATTTCTCTTATATGATGCCAATAGAGTATTTCTGCAAAAGTATTTCGCTTATCATAATGATGCAAAAAGACAAGGAACCATAAGAGAAACTAAAAGACTATTCGGGAGATCTCCAGTAAGATGGAAAGTGCTCTAATTATGAAGGAACTGGGTAAAATCTGGCAAAGGAAAGCAAGATCAGGGATCGAATGGAAACGCATTGTGGCCAGTTGGATAGCTTGGCCAGTCCAAGTGTAATGACGCAAGAACACGTCAAATATTAAACTGTAAGATGTTATTTGCATTCTTAAAAGGTGCATTCAAGGTAAATCCTATTATCAATCACGGGTTTGCGATGTGAACACTCGTTTACATCCAGCAAAGAGCAATTATTTCAGAGATTAAGCGGCCGGGCCGTGCGAGCAGAATAAATAATGAAGGATTATTGGATATGCATACAGTTTTGAAACAACTCAAACGGAACGGAAAATTTCATTCGACACAAAAAAATGATTCCATTTGAATGGCTCTGAACATGTGGAAGAAAAAAAGTGAACAATTGATTAATTGATGCGGCTTTCTCGGCACTGATGATGTTTCATGGAAGATGAAAACTAAGAGACCTTGAAATATTCGTCTGAAGAATCGGCTTAAACTGACAGTCATGAACGGCCATCAAACAGACCTAATAACACCAGTCTGGTCAACTCATGCATACCGTAAAAACTGCGTCTGATCCTTTGAATGGCTGCACTTCAGTGCGCTTAATAGGATGATTACAACGTTTACTTCTTGGAATCAAAAATATCGTAACCTCACACAGCATGTATTCCACTATTTATTTCGCAAATCCGACGGTATGAATGAACAAAGCAAATAATATTGACGACTCCATGCACTCTGAATGTAAAATCACCAGTTAAGCTAGGAAAATCCAACTACGAATCCATCCGATTACTCGTCGACGAGAGCGATCGAAAAGCAGAAAATATCATAAACATCACAAATTCACTCAGCGCATCTATCATTTCATTAAAACTAAATACAAATTCTTAATATGGTTTTACAACTTGTGTAGCGGCGATCACCCATTTTGCACTAGTCACTTAAAATTTTGCAAATGAATCCAGCTAGTGTTAATAAGTCGTCATCGAATAGATCAGGGGTTACTTCCATTTACTGAGACTCTTATCATTATGAGCCAATCATGATTACCGACAATTTTACATGATCCCATATGATTCCAATTTCTTAGAAGTGTTTTACTCAACCGCACAGATACACTTTCTCGTAACTGACAGAATTATCGAGTACTCTACGTTAAGTCACCACATCAATGAATAACACAGCTGAACCTGCGGAAAGTCTCTTAAGAAAATATCTTTCTGAAACGTTTCAGGATGCTGACCTAAAATGAAAAGCACGCGACCATGCAAAACTTTTAAAAAACGTTAGCAAAAAAAAATTCCATAAGATGGCCAACTCACCTCTTTATCGTTAAGAAATTGTTGTTCATCATCAGCCCCATTCAAGCCTAATTCGGTCAGATAAGCGCTCAACTGTTCACTGATACGAATGAGACTCAGATCCGTTTGCGTCACACTTCCAACTTTACCGTCTATTTGCGTTCCGATACTGAAAGTTTTAGAATGCACAGAGAGATAATCTGACATGAATGGA